CTTTTATTAACGTGGTTGGGACAACCTTTAAGTACCCGTACTAGGCTCTGTACCTGCGGGGAAACAACTGCTCTTTTCTTGCAACAAGTACCAAAGACCCCATACACGCCTTTGTTGCGCGTGGTGGGGACAAAGACTTTACACGGCCGCGGTGTCCTCTCAAGAGGGAACCTACCATGCACGCCTTTGTTGCTCGTGGTGGGAAAGGCTCAGTTTTTCGTAGTTTTCTCCTGAACGGGGAAGACGCCGGGAGGCTTCCAAAATTTCGGGTGAAATATTATTACACTCGGACCTGTTTTGAACTCAAAAGAACACGGACCTGGGCTCAAATAAACAATGACTTGTGGACCGTTGAACTTGATTGAACACAAGCAGAGGACCTGAACAAAACTTAAATGATTTTTAAAAGGCCAAATCCAAATAAAATGAAATCAAACTGGAATCAGAATTCAAATTGTTTAAACATAAAGACGAACTTATAAAGACTCCATAAGACTTTAAACAAAATGCGAACATGCAATTGAACTCAAAGGATTGTAAGGGGACTTGAACCAAGACTTGAGCTTGAATGGAGTCTGAACTCAAGAGGAGCACAAGGAATCCGACGACTCAATGTCGGGTGAAATGCATCGATCCTTGTGAACAAATGTGGTTAAGATGCATAAAATGCAAATAACCACAAGCTCTTGTAGGGAAGATGACATCCTCATGACCAACATCGAGGTACAAGAAAGCACACTACAAGATCTCAATGCATGTATACAAAGAATACAAAAAACTCCTACGACAATCCCTACAATTGCATGTTGATTGAGATGGCAATACTAGAGACCAACAATCAAAGACCCGTCCTCTACAAGCAAATACAATCATCGACCCACCTGATATTCGTGAAAGGTGGGTAGGATGCAAAAAAAGTAACTCTCCTACAAATACCCCTAGGAGGTCGTAGAGGATACAATGAGTCCCTGCAAATGAACACAACCTACTTGTGGATAACAACAGTGTATATATCGTAGGTACAACGAACCACTATGGGCACAAGTACAAACATCCCCCCACCTGAGATTGATGGAAGGTGGGTGTGATACGAGAACAATGGGTCTTCTACAAACACTTCTAAGAGATCATAATGAATACAACGGTCCCCTGCAAATGAATACTTGTGGGTAACAACAATAGGTATGTCGTAAGTATAATGAATCCTTATGGACAGAAGTACAAATATCACTTACGATAGTGGTGATCAAAATCTTCAAGTACGTCGGGTATAAGGGCAACTCGATGTACGAAAAGGGACACCCCCTGACAGAATAGAAGAAATGTTTGAGCAAATTAGAACTAAACTTTCTGCTGTTCCAAAGTCTCTTCTTAATTATATACTTAAGAAGAAAACAGTTATGGTGTCCACAAACACCGGAAATAACAAGTCTACTACACTGACAATCTCAAAAGGAGATCTTTTCTTTACAAAGAAACGATCTCTGACTTCAAAGTCCAGAAGAAACCTTCCCCCATGAATGAGAAAGGGGGAGTCAATATCAAGAGAACAACGCCACCGGATCTGCAACACTTATGCAAGAAGAAAAAAGGCGTCTACAATCTACAACACAATGCCACCTGATCTGCAACACTTATGCAAGCAGACACAAGGCATTTACAATCTACAACACAACGCCACCGGATCCGCAACATTCATACAAGAGGACAGAAGGCGTCTATAATCTATAACACAACGCCACCGGATCTGCAACACTTACGCAAGCAGACAGAAGGCGTCTACAACCTACAACTCAACGCCACCGGATCTGCAACACTTATGCAAGCAGACAGAAGAAGTTTACAATCCATAATGCCACGCCACCGGATCCGCAACATTCATACAAGCGGACAGAAAGCGTCTACAAATACTTTCAAAATACCCCTACATGTGCACCATAGCTTGTATGCACATAGGTACACAAAGGGGTATGTCAAATCAATGAAATTCTCAAATACCTGCATGGGCCCCGACGAGCATGTTATTGGTACACATATGACGTCTAGGGATGCTGCGCGGGTTATTAAAGTTGAACCCGATCCTCCTAAGCCAGGTAGGTAGAAGTTGACAAGGTTCATCAAATGATTATAAAATGTCCCCAAATACCTGCATGGGCCCCGACGAGCGTATTATTGGTACACATGTGACGTCTAGGGATGTTGTGCGGGTTGACAAGTGAATTCAAGTTCGAACCCGATCCTTCTATACGGATCTATAGGAGTCGACAGGGTTCGAACATTCACAAAATATATCGATTGCCAACAAATATACGATTGTGGCAATCAATATATTTGTTTTAATACATTCATATTAAGCCTTCAAGGTCTATAACAGTATGTATTCACTAATAAAGGCACAAAGCCTACGAAACCCAATACCCTATCAATGAGTTAATAAGGTCGACAAGGTTCAAGCCACAAATAGAAACGACCCTAAACACCCCGATGATGGCCGTATTGAACGATAATCTCAACCGGAGGGGTCCATTCCAAACATTTCAAGTGCCTTTCAAACTCTACAAAGTCCAAAAATTTAAAAAATCCAAAGTCCAAAATCCCAAAATCTCAAGAATATTTAAAATTGAAATAAATCCATCAAAATACTTAAAGCAAAATCCATCCACCCTCCACAATAGTTTGCCGGAGTGGATAAATTAAAATTTATTTCAGCTCACAAAGAGTCAAATGCCTAGTCGAAAATATCACTAGGATCCATTCTCAAACAATCTCCTGCTAGTAAGGACATGGTACGCATCCTCTAACCGGCGGTTTTCCCGCCAAATGGCACCGCAGGATAAACGGTTATGAACTGGGGCCTTCTGAACCGAGTGGTTTTGCCACCAAATGGCACCATGAAATAACGGTAATGGCCAGCGCCGATACGATCCTTATTGGCATCAAATCCTTGAGATATGAATCAATAGGATATGATCGATAGGGCACAAAGCCCTCTGTTCACTAAGGTGGATTCAAATTTATCCCCTTAGGCAAATATTCACCCCCGATCTACAAGGTCCCCTTGGACGAAGCAACCCATGGCTGCTGACAAGGATCCTTCTGTCAGGTTGGGTCGACTTCCTCCTCTGACTAAGTAGACCAGGGACCATGATGGCCAGGGACGACGGAACCATGAGATCTTGATCGGGCCCATCATCCATTCCCCCACCATCCGCTTAAGTGCAAGATGGTGCAATTTTCATTTTAAATATCAAACTTTCCAAATTCCCAAATCCAGTTCTCAAATTCCATATCCGTGCTGTTACTATATGCCAGATAACACGTATCTCTACGTATCTGATTGACGACTAGCCTTAATCAAAAGTTCTCTCTCGTTACTGAGAGGGGTAATTAACTATAGGGGCTTGCGCCTATAGGAAACAAGAACTCAGATCATAAAGTCCTCACAAAATGAGGGCAAAATCTCTGGGTAGTGTCTTATCTACAAACCCATCTGCCTTCCAAAATTTACCCCGGAACTTAATTCGTTAAAATTCCCCTCGCCGAAGAAAAACACAAACAATCAGTGAGCGGCGAGGAGACCGGGGCCGAATTTTCAGAGCCCACAAAAAGTCACTATTAAACTCTTCATGTCTGATTTCTTTTCCCTTAGATTCAACAAAGGGAATCTCAGCCGATTTTGGGTTATGGTTAGCAATTGAAACCACCAGTGGAGTTTTGGATTACATCTTCATGAGCTTCCTTAACATCTATTCTATACTCCAAATCGGCTCTCCATCTGATTCTTCATAGTTAAAAACTTCTCCTCTATGCCGGATTTGAATTGCTCTATTTTTCCTTTCAACGCATCCACTTTCTCCATAAAACTTACTGTAATACTAATTTGATGCGTTTTGATAGTAAAAACAACAAATAAAAGAGAAGAACAACGTAGGAACACAAAGATGAGGTAGAATTTCTTATTTCTCCTTCAATAATAAAGCAAGATGCAATTGATCTACTATTCGAGAGCTAGATTTGTTCTCCCACAAACCCTATACACTGCTATAAACTCACAACAAATATTAGAAAAATAAATTTAGTCATATCATACCCTAAACTATAGACAAACTCCCCTTTAAATAGCCCTAAAATACAATAACACAATTAGAATATTCCTAATCAGCATAAACATAATTTAAGAAACCTTTCTAAATAAATAGAACATTCTTAATCAGCATAAACATAATTTAGAAATTTTTTATAAATAATTAAATATGATTTAGGAGACCTTCCTAAACAATTAAATATGATTTAGGAAACATTCTTAAACAACTAACATATTTTAGGAAACTTTCTTAAACAATTAAATACTTTCTAAATAGTATAAACACAATTAGGAAATTTTTCTAAACAACTCCCTTTTGATTAGGAACCTTCCTAAACAAATCCCCCTTAATTAGGAATCTTCCTAAACAACTCTCTCTTGATCGGGAACCTTCCTTACATAATAAATAATAGCTACCCCATCCTAGCTATGGGCCCTTGGTGTATCACAACTCTATCATTGAGCACTTAGATTAATTTGACATCCATCAACAACAAATCATGGCACAAACCAAGGTTTCTTCTCATGCTTGAGAACTCAAAGTAAAAAGGGGTTTGTATATAAAACCCTAATTATAGTTCAAGGATTTTATATTCTTATTAATAGCGTTACATCCCTCTAAATATTTCTCCATAGATTCATCAGTTAAAAGCATCTCTCAGAGAAACCCTAAAAAATTGCACATAAAGCTGTAGCCAAAATATCCTACCGAGCCCACAAACCTCCCACACTCCTGTTCTTAATCAATCAACCAAACAATCCACCACATCTCGACAAATTATGTTTGAGTCAGAGAAAATATACTGTGCCTCAATTTTATCCTCTGTTAAAAGCAGCAAGTTGGCATTTGCAGAAACAAAACAGCAAATATCTATATAAGTTATTGTTCTTGTTGAAAGACATTAAAGACACTAACCAAATCTCCTCATAGCTATACGTCCCGATGATCTTCCACCTGAGGTTGATTCATTTATGGCTTCAACCATCTCAGATTTGCTAACATGTCCATCCTTGTTTTTGTCGAGAAATACAAAAGCATCAACCAAAGTCTGAAACGTGGACTCCAGTTCTGGCAATCCTAAACGTGATTTCTAGCAATAAGGTTATTGGAAATCAAGCATTGAACCATAAGGAAATTATTCAACTGGGGAAGAAAATTTCAGCTATAAAGATATAGTATGCCAATATAGAATGTAAAAACAACCAGCTACTATCATGGGAGTCTTATTGATATGAAAGTACTCAAGATATAAACCAAACAAAAGATCTTGCAACAAGGTCAAGTTACTAAGAAGGTATAAGATTTGTAACTTCCCTAACTTGGATGGTAATCCATAGAAAATAATGGCACAACAGTCAGGATAAATGCATCTATATAAAAAGCAACCGTTAGAGATAATGAGCACTAAACAACTAACACAATAAGCCAAATGCATGTTAGCATGCTGCTTACAAAAAATACTTTCTGTTATTAAGATAAATGCTAGCTAAGCAGTAGAAAAATTGCAAATTATAAGCCTAAATCTTCTTTTGCCAAAAAAGGACTGCGGATTTCTTCAAAAAAGAATGAGCACAAAAGGTAAACAATATTGGAGATAAAGGATACTGCTTGTGAAGTTGTGGGCTCCTTGAGTAAATAGACAAGACACAGGAGGACAATGAACTCGTTGAACTTAATTGCCATATTTTCATCAATATCACAAGCCTTGAAGAATTCATTAATCTCTTCTTCGGTAAAATCAACTTGAAGTTTGTGAAAACAACGTCTAAGTTCGTCAGGGTCAATTGCACCATTCGAATCTTCATCTGAAAACGAAATGAGCCTTTATTAGATAAGTGACCTTCGCTGACACTAGCCATGAGAAAATCACAACTTATACGATCTCACGGGGTACAAAACATGGGCGTATTACTTCCAGGAAAATGGTATAGATATGTGGCAAGCAGAAGGCTTTTGACAAGCACCCAAAAATGATAGCTCCATGGTCACACACCCTGTTTCGCTAATAATGTCTTAAGCAAAGTTTTCAGTTTTAACCAAAATTAATAAGTTTTGGCTCCAACCTAGATCAAGACCAATTTTGAACCAGAAAGAATTTATGAATTTGGACGGTTTCAACCAGTTTGGTATATTTTGCACATACTGGTAGCTTCAGCAAGAAGCCAAGAAAAAATGAAAACAGCCAGAGCTATGAAAACTGTAGACGCTCAACTAAAACTCAATTGATTGTTAGAACAGTCATTATTGTAAGTTTTTGCACTAGCAAAAAAAGCATTGCTCATTACATCCAACGAAAAGATTCTTAATTGGCTCCCAAACCTTAAATTTTACAAAACTGAAAGAACTCACTTTTCAGCTTAGCTGTTCAAAACATACCCAATCCTGCTAGACTCCTCCAAGAAATAAAGACTACAAGAAAATTGCGAATAAGAAATCTAAGCTTTGAGGAGATTCTAAATTACTATAAGATATAGATAACAAAGGCGTGGGGCTTTAAATTAATACATGAATATTAGTGAACAGGTTTCATCCTTTACCAAAAAGAATTGTGTTTAAGAAAATAAAAAATGCAACCATTACAGATCCAATCTTATTGAAAATCAAATTTTTATAATTATTTGTCATTTGAATAGATTTGATCATCAAATTGTTTTTTCAATAATTAGGCGGTGTATTTCTATAACTGTATTTAAAATTAGCTCGATGACTACTTAAGTGCAATGCACATGAAAAAGATGCTCACAGGCGTGGGGCTTTAAATTTGTAGACGAATATCAGTGAACAGATTTCATACTTTACCAAAAGCATCGTGTTTAAAAGAATAAAAAATGCAACCATTATAGGTCCTATCTTCTTTAAAGTAAAATATTTAAAATTATTTGTCATTCGTATAGATTTGATCATCAATTTGTTTTTTCAATAATTAGGCGGTGCATTTCTATAACTGAATTTAAAATTAGCTCGTTGACTACTATAAGTGCAATGCACGTGAAAAACATGCTCAGCGGTTTTTAATTTGTTGACACCTTCTCAATTACTTTCTCCTCCATTCACCGGTTTATTGTCCTGTGTCATTTTTGTTTACAAACAATTAGAAAGAGGTAACTGTTTAGGATTACTTGATTTCTTCAGCTACGAAAGTTAAAGGAACGACCAAGTCATTTTGGGCATTTTATTCTTTATTAATGGTTGCACTAGAAAAAGGAACAAATTGAAATGTCTTATATCTAGGTGGCCGAAATGAAGGATTTTAAAAATGTAGTATCATGTGAAGTACCATTATCTAGAGAACCTGTGTAATTAACTCTAAATTAACAAAAAGCTTAATGAAGAAATATGAAAATATATCTAAAAGCAAAATCTTAGCAATAAAATAATCTCATAACCCCATGACAAGCAATAGAAGAGCCATATGGTAAAAAATTGGACATGAAGGCCTTTAGTTATAGTGTTGGAATTATTCGTTAAGATTAAACTCTGACATGGAAAAATTAGTTGGACATAATTTGTCAGTAGGTTAATTGGAACAGTCAGATTATGCATTAGAGCCTTTCTTCAAGAAAGGGTCAGCAGATAGGCTAGCATTCAATTAGCAATGAAGCTCAAAAAGGAATTTTAAATGTGCACCATCAGAATAGAATAGAATGGAGTGTACTTACAAGCTCACAGGCAATAATGACGCCAAACCAAGGACTTTGAATCCCTTGAGTTAATATCTTACTGTAATTCTAAGGACTACATGAGCAAAAACATTCTAAATGGTTCGTTAAATGATTACTGATCAAAAACCCATTATATATGCAACATAAAAATACATAAGAATGGGCAAACTTAACAAGACATCAAAACAATACAGTAAGTTCCTAAGGTAAAGATGAGATGATCATTATTTCTAAAATAGTTAAAACTATGTATCGATCAATCATAGAATCAAGAAGGCAGGATTTTTTTCTGTAAATTTGAGCTCAAAATCAACATTTAGCAAAATAGAGCATAACAAATTTGACAATGTTGCGATCAGAAAAATAAGAACATTATTTTTCTCTCATTAGAAGTATAGCATTAGAGATAAAACTTACCAAATTGCTCAAAAATAGTCTTGCATTTTTTGAAGCTCTCATCAATTTTGGGAAACTTCAAGATTATAGTATTGAACGATTTCATGCTACTTCCTTGTGCAGCTCTTCGACGCATAGTCTCAACCATCTTTGCATCAAGTTTTGATTCTGATGAATAATTCTTTGAAGACTCTTTCTTTCCCAGAGAACCTCCCATCTCAATGCACAATGAAAGATAGCATGCAAGATGAAAATTACTACTATGACCTAGAGAAGAGGAGAAAAAACAATATAATTCATCAGTAAAGAGAGAGAAGTGGGAGAAGGGAAGAGCAGCATCAGAACTCCACATAAGAAATAAGCACATAACAGAACTAAGTAAATGTTAGTTGTGGATCAATATCTTAAGTAATTAATTACGCTATAATATTCTGATAAATAGCAAATGTTCATGCTCATCTAGACTAATTGATAGATAAATTTTATTTCTTCCTCTCTTAGGATTTTCATCAAAAAAAAATATATCGAGAAAATGATCAATATGATCCCTTGATTTTTTTATGAAGGACCAAACTAGTCCCTATATTAAAAGATCATTTTGATCTCTCAAGTCTTTAAAAAGAATCAAAATAGTCTCATTGTGGGAGTATTTTAGTTTCTCTTTCATGAGTCAAGAGATCAAAATGATCATTTAATATAGTTGGGGACTATTTTGATTTTTCTATAGAGTGAAGGAACCATTTTGATCCTTTTTTCTCAAAACATATTAAATAACTATCGATTGAATTTGCTTCTATGCTTGGCTTATGTTTCACTGTAATAGAGGAGATGCCAATCATTATGTGATTTCCTTTCAACATATTAATCATGTATTCGTATAATGGAAATCTAAAAGTGTAGACCCGATCAAAAGCACAGAAAGTTGTGAGCACTATGAGTTTTACCATTTTATTTTATTTTCTTTTAGTTTATTTTATTATGAACTACGTCTATGTTTTAAGATCATTTTGGTTTATTTTATCTGTTCCTCTCTTAGGATTTTCATAAAAAAAATATATATATATATCGAGAAAAAATGATCAAAATGATCCCTTGATTTTTTATGTAGGACAAAACTGGTCCCTATATTAAAAGATCATTTTTATCCCTCAAGTCTTTAAAAAGAATCAAAATAGTCTCATTATGGGAGTATTTTGGTTTCTCTTTCAGGAGTCAAGAGACCAAAATGATCCTTTAATATAGTTGTGGACTATTTTAATTTTTCTAAAGAGTGAAGGAACCATTTTGATCCTTTTTTCTCAAAACATATTAAACAACTGTCGATTGAATTTTCTTCTATGCTTGGCTTATGTTTCACTGCAATAGAGAAGATGCCAAACATTATGTGATTTCCTTTCAACATATTAATCATGTATTGGTATAATGGAAATCTAAAAGTGTAGACTCGATCAAAAGCAAAGAAAGTTGTGAGCACTATGAGTTTTACCATTTTATTTTATTTTCTTTTAGTTTATTTTATTATGAACAACGCCTATGATGACGGCACCTATGAGAATGGTGAGAAGAATTTAAGAACAACTTGTTAGATTTGGTCTACTATTACAACCTTATTTGCTTCAACTACCTTGGTTCAACACATAATCCGAGGAATGCTATAAAATATGTTCTTTGTAGTAACTCACTCTTCTTTTATTTGGAAAGAGTTTCTACACTGCAACTATTACCAACTATTATTTCTGTCTCAAACTTTCACATTATCTATTTCTCTTTGGGCAATGTTGTGGATAATAGCTGGCATTAGGTATGACACTATTGATATGTATGGAAAACACGTGTCATTTTCCTTGCTTCCTTAAAACTTCTTCATATGTTTTGTTGCCTTTTGAAAAGTTGGGCATGTTGACCTTGGATATTACACTATTCTATTTTTGGTAAATTGATTGCGAAACTAAAATCTGATTGTGGTTGAACTAAAAGCTTCTAGTTTTAGTCCAAATTTTCGAGGGTTATTACAAATATTGACAAGAATCGGAGAATAGTTTGGTGAATTTCATTCCAACATTTGTATAGGATTTATACAATCTCAAGAAAGCTTTTAATAGGAAATATATGAAATCAGAGAGTGAAAAATAACAACAAAATTCACTATAAAAAGATAACCCATAGATATGCTTCATTGTAAATTCGAATAGCTCGTATAGATTGGTGAGGTGGCAGTAAGGATCAAACAAATCTATAAGCTGCAAGAGTGAGGCTATTGCAATCCCATATGGGCAAAAATGAAGTAGAGAAGCTGATACAGGCCTAGGAGGACAAAGAAAGCGGCCGAGCACAAGAGCAGTGCAAGATGGAGGCCAAAGTTTGGGAGTGAAAATTGGGTTTAACTAGGGCATTTCACACTATCCCTTGAGTGAATAAATGAATATTATCTATTGAGTAAAAACCCAAAATAATCCACCGACTATTAGTAACTGTCTAATTTAGTCTCAAAGTTTCATAAAGACCCAATTTAATCCCCCGACAATTAGAAAATATCACAATTTGATCCCAAGACCAAAAGTAATAGTCAAAATTAATCTCAACAATTAAATCTACGAGCATAGTTTAAAATTGCGCAATATGAGGCCCGCCTTTGTGCAATTCCAATAAAAAACGCCTCGATGCTTACACCTCGAGTTTTTTTATGAGGCTTGCACCTCAACTTGGTTGAGGCCCGCCTCGCCTCACTGGCATGAGGCTTACGCCTCACGCTATATATATTAAAACTTACATAAATCTTGAAATAAATGCCCGACATTAGACTCTATAGAAGAGGAGGAAGGGGAGAGAGCAGTTCACCATAATGATGATTCAAATGAAGAACCCCTTAGTGATGACAGTGCTGATGACTTATGAGTTTTTATGTGATATGTCATTGCTATTTATTTTTGGAAATTGGAATTATATGTTAATGAAAAGAATACTTGGATTTGGGAAAGATAGAATTTTGAGTTGAACTATATTTCATGTTGTCTTATTATTGAGATATTTTGATTTCACTTCATATCTTATGTTTTTTTATGTTTTATATTATTCACCCATTAGTATATAAAAATTTTATCATTTTATGTTTACGCAATCTTTTGATTTTGAGGCTTACACCTCAAAATGCCTTGAGGCTTGCCTTGAGGCTTACGCCTCGCATCACGAATGAAAAACGCCTCAATACCCGAGTACGCAATTTTAAACATTGTCTACGAGCATTTTGAGTATTATAGTATATTTAAGATTATTGTTGACTGTAGACCTGAAATCACCCCATGATTCAACCGTTCCCACAAACCCATGATCCCACTCCTCTCCATGTAACTTCATCATAAGCATAGAAGAAACAAGAGATACCTCATTTGGTTCATTCAAACGCACGGACAGAAGCCGCAGTTCGCTCCTACTTGCAATCCTTTATTGTGCCCTACTTCCAGACTATGACACCGACTCTGATCATACTCAAGCCCAGTCATCCTCTAGCCGTCTCTCATCTCTTTCAGCGCATTCGTCGTAGGGCCCTCGAGCTGAATGCCACACATCTCTTTGACATCCAAATCCTCTGACTTGTCGAGCAAACTGAAGAGCCACTGACCTAGCCCTCTTCCGCTCACGGCCAATCCTCGGCGCAACCAAGTCTAATCATATTCAAATTTCATACACCGTGGAAGGACTAGGGTCGACCTAACTTGAATTATAATATGCCTCCTAAACTGCTATAGAATACAAATATTTTTTAAATGACAATCATATTACCCCGATGATGACCATGTTGAAAGTTAATCTCAACTAGAGGGGAGCATAAACTTTTAAAACAGCTCCCAATTTCTTACTAATAAATAAGTGACTTTAACATCGCCATAAAGATGGCTGAGTTGACAGGGAATCACAACTGGTGGGATCATATGTTAAAAAATAATTAAGAAAAATAAAAATTCTTAAAATAAAATCCATCACCTAAAAACTTAAATTTAAAACACATCCACCTCCCGTAACCGTTTGTCAAGGGTGATAAATTTAAAATTAACCTTAGCTCATAAAGAGCGAATGTCATGTTGGATGTATCACTAAAATTCATCCTCAAATAGTCTCTTTCCAACAGGGACGTGGCACGTGCCCTTTGATTGGATTGTTTTGGGGCAAAATGATAGCATTATATTATGATCACGGTCAAAACCCGTATGTTCTCTAATGGCGTCAAACCCTTAAATAATGAATCATATGTTATATTTGATAGGCATAAAGCCCTCAGTCAGCTAAGGTGGATTTAGATCTATCATATTAGATAGGCACCACTACAGGTCTACAAGGTATTCCTAGACGAAGCAACTCATGGTTGCCGATAAGTTGTCTTCTATCAGGTTGGGTCGACTATCTCCTCTAACTAAGTAGACAGGTGGTCATGACTGTCCAAGACAACGGAACCATGGGATCTTGATCGAACTTGTCTGCACTCCCCCCGTCACTAATTTTAAGTTTATGGTGATTAACTTTAAGTCTAAACTACGAAATTCATATCCAAAATTCAAACCCTAAAATTGTTGCTATTATACACTGAATTTACAACCTATTCAACCTCTTTAACAACTATCTTTAATTGAAAGTTCTCTCTCATTATTGAGAGGGGAAATTAACTATAGGGGCTTGCGCCTATAGAAAACCTAAACTCATATCATAAAGTCCTCACAAAATGAGGACAAAATCTCTTAGTAATATTTAATCCAAAACACAATCTGCCTTCTGAAAATTCACCCGGAACCTAATCTAGTTAAAACTCTCCGCCATCACATAAACAAAAAGAGAAGAGCTGGTGTGGAGAGGCCAGGGTGAGGAATTTTCGAAGCCCACAATTATAGTACTTTTAATATTTTTTAATATTTATCATTATTAAAATAAATACAAAAATCATAAAGGAAGTTAATCACATTTATTAACTATTCACTCTTATTATTTAGTTGATTAACTTCCATTATGATTTTTGTATTTATTTTAATATTATAAATGATAAAATATATAAAAATAATAATATAATCTCACATATACCATAATACCCAAAATGATCTCACATTTAACTATTGGGAATAACTTGAACTATTACTTTTGATTTTGGGATCAAATTAAGATATTTTCTAATAGTCAATGGACTAAATTGAGACATTATAAAAGTTTGAGACTAAAATGGACATTTAATAATAGTTGGGGGACTATTTTAGGTTTTTACTTGTTATATATTCCATGCTTACTTGATAATTTTTGAAATATTGCCCCAATAATCCTTTGGTGAGAATGTTTGTTAACTGTTTACTTGTGATAACAAATGAAGTATAGATTGGCCCAGTGTCAAACATCTCCTTTATAAAATGTATATTAACTTCAGTATGCTTTGTATAGTGTTGTTGTATACAATTATGTGCAAGGCCAGCTTATTATCACAATAGCGCTCATGAGACCTTTCAATTCAATCTTAAAAAATATTCTAAAATAACTTTTTTCCATAGTAATTGATAAATTCTTAGTGCCATCAGATAAAAATTTGACTTCTACGCTAGATATAACAACCATATTTTATTTTGCACTTCATAAGATTGCCTAATAAGAATGTGCAAGAGCTTAAAGTTGACTTTTGTCTAACATGTAACCAGCATAACTTGCATCTATGTATGCTTCAAGAGTCAGGTCCTCCATCATTTAAATACAATTCCATTGCACAGTTTTCCCTTTAAATATTATAGAATTCTAAATATTGCCCTAAGATATGATTATTTAGACTTGTGGATGAATTGATTAACAACACAATAGCATGGACATTGGCATGTCTAGTATGTATGTAATAAGAAAATAAGTTTTTCCATAAGTCTTTGGTATGAGATTTTTTCTACTGGCATGTCTTCTGTTCAAACTCCAAATTTATGAATTAAATTTATGGGACTCTCAACATGCTTACATCCCAACTTACAACTATTTTTCAACAAGTTTGTTATGTATTTTTATTATGATATAACAATTTCATACTGAGATTATGCAACCTCAATAATTATGAAATACATTAATTTTCCTAATCCTTTCACTTCAAATTCATAGAGCAATTTTTTCTTTAAGTTATCCATTTCTTCCAAGTCATTGCCTATCATAATAATGTCAACAATAATAGCTAGTAGTGCTGCCACTGCCCTAATCCTATGATTTACAAATAATATACAATCTTCTTTACTTCTTTGTAACTCATGTTGAGCATCACCATGGTAAACCTTTCGAATTAGGCCCATAGAGATTGCTTCAACTCATACAATGCCTTTCTTAGCTTACATACCATTTATTCTGTAATGGAATCAAATCTTGGTGGTACATCCATATACTCTTCATTCTCTTCGTCATTATGTAATAAGGCATTCTTAACATCAATTAATATATTTCCTTGTCCATATTAGCTATTAATGATAAAAGAAATTGCAGAGTGCTCATTTTAGCTACCATAGCAAATATTTCAAGGTAATCAATCACATACATTTCAGTATATAATTTGACATCCAATCTAACTTTATATATTTTAAGTGAATCATCTATTATGTACTTTATAATAAACACCCAATACATCCACTAGTTGCTTTCCTTTAAGTAACTTTACCAAATGAAGTATCTTATTTTTTTGGAGAGCTTCCATTTTCTGCTTCATAGAATTGTCTAAAATCTCATTATTTAATGCCTAAAAAATTGTCTTAGGGGTATAAATAGTACAAAGGCTAGTGAGGAAATTTAGATAATTATGAGAAATTTGTTAGACCGGTCCACTGGACCGGTCCAGCTGGTCCAGGCGGGACCGGCTCAGGCACGAACAGGGCGGAAGAAACTTCCGCCTGCTGGGATGCCGAGCGAGCCGCACGGTGTGCGGGAGCCAAATATGAAAGAAATTTTGGGGAGTTAAGAGGGAAATTTGAATGTAAGGACTGTTTAGGGAATTCCTTTTGATTTGTATGCATTAAATAGTTGTTTTTTCTAGGGTTTGAGTATCTTGAATTTGGTTGAAATTTGAGATCTCTTAGATTTAGGTTTTCTTTGGGCTCTAGCGGCATCTAGAGATTTGGGAGAGATCGATCCTCCTCTCGAATTGAGGATCAATTGTATCTTGCTATTTTATTCATCTTCTAGTGAAATACAAGCCTTCTACTTGTGTTTTCGAGCTGTTTTCCCTATATTCCTGCTGTTTCTCTGCTGGGGACAGCAAACTGCTGCTGTATTTTTACTGTTTTGGATTAGGGTCACTTGCAAACCAAGTGTTTCCTATCAAAATTTTTTTGTATAATAAATAAATGTAAAGGATGTTCAACAAAAATTCTTGTGCATTTGTTATTAAGAGTCCTTTCACTTACAGGTTTAATAGTTATCTTAATTAATCCAAGACGGATTGATTTGGCTATTTAACTTGCATAGATTGAGAGATTAATGCTTTTCTTATTGAGTAAACATGTAACGCCTGATTAGAAAGTGGTTCAGGAATATATTCGGCTTGCATAGGAGTAGTTGCTTGCTAGGAAGAATGACAAAAAAAAAACAATGTAGGAAAAAAGAAATTTTTTTCTTTGTCATTGGTTAATGATATTTTTTCTTAAGCATAAGTAGAAATAAAGTACTATTCTTCTTCTCTAAAGGTGGCATCAACGGACGCATACACCTAGCACCTCTAGAGCATGGTGGTTTGTATCTTTAATCGATGATTTTACCCATATATCATTGATATTTCAGCTAAAAGCAAAAAGTGATGAATACCATCTTCCTACCTTTTTTACAACAACAACAACAGCATCATGCCTTTTATCCCACTACGTGGGGTCAGCTACATGAATCATTTTTCTCCATTGTGTCCTATTAAGAGTCAAATTCTCATTTAAATCTAATAAAGAATGATCATTTCTAATATTTTCTAACCAAGTCTTTTTAGGTCTACCTCTATCTTTATGAAACTCTAATGTATCTTAGTCACTATTGGAATTTTGATGAGACACCATTTGATGTTCTAATTATTAAGCCAACCTCCCTAACGAGGTACACAAACCATCTAACCCACTATTTGCTGCTCTATTTATTGAGCATATCATTCCTAAGAAGGATAACAAAATCTAGCATTGGAAATAGACATACCTACTGTGTACCAAAATATCCAATGTCATCACTAACACATACACTACCAGGGATCTGCCTATTAATATACCTTTTCACACTTTCGCAATGCATCATGAACAACTCTCTTGGATTCCTATTATCTGACTTCTTGGATCCAACTGAACACCATATTTTGATTGTGCCTTAAAAAAAATTATTTTTAGACAACCTTTCTTAATTAATCATTATCATCATTATGTGTATCCAATTGAATTGTCACTTGTATACATTTCACTTATACTACATCCACTAGATATGAACAATGATGAATATGTAGCAACAATATTTCAAAGCTATCCATCATTTAATATAACATCTAGTCCTGAAATAGTCCTCTGGCTATTTACATGTGGCCAATTTAGCTATTACAATCAAATTGTTATTTCACCATTTTAACCCCAAAAAAATATGTAAGTCAAAGAGAACTAATCTTGTATGATTTAGTTTTCACCTCATTTATTTATAATCACAATCAAACCCACATAACCCAAATACTTTACAGATTCTTCAAAATTTCTGGCACTTAAACATTTAGCTCAAAAATGTAGAGCATCTTCCTGAGCAAACTTTTATGTATTAATGCACATTAGTAAAGTTTAAAAATATGTCCATTTCTACAATAAGAACTATCTAAGAGAGAAACATTGGCAGTTGAACATACATAAACTCAATTTACTGGAGGTAGAAAATTGCAGTCTTAATAATGGAGCAACAGATATTATGATCCGCGACAAGTAAATGGGAAAAAGTGACATATGCTATTAATTACCATTAATCATTAAATCTATAATAAAAAAATATATATAACGGGATTATTTGGCTCCAAGATTAGTTTCAGAGTTAAAGGACTCCCAATTATATATGAAGCCCTCGTTTATTTTGTAGTAAATTTCAGAAGAAATCAAATTGCTCGGTTAAATGAATACATAATCTTACTTCCGACAAAATACAGAAAAGTGATAAATTCCTTCTACTTCACGCCGACTCTATGGTAAATAAAAAGGCAGCGAATAACATCTTCTAATCCTGAATCAGGCAAGCAAAGTTTTTAATTATCGTTGAGATAAGAAGAGGAAAACAAGGTAAACAAGCAAAGAACAATAATCTAATGGTAAAAAAATAAAGATAAATTATATATCTTTCATCAAGCAAGCCCCTTAGTCCAAATAAAATAAATTAAAATAAAAACCTTCCAAATCCTCCCAGACATTAGTGACCCCCACCCCCTGCCAGAAAAAAAAAAGTGAGAAATCCGACATTAACAACAAATAGAAAGCACCGTACAAAGATTCTTCCGGCAAAAATCCAATCCACGATTACTGACACTATCTAGAACAGAAGAAAATTTAAGAAAAACCATTGGCGACATGAATACAGTATACACCCCATCCATGGGACATCAAGCTGGCATGATAGATTCCAAATTACCTCCTTGATTCTACCTCTTGTTCCAGGAACAATCAAAATCATCAAAGAATGAAAGCCAAGCTTGCTACAAATATGGAGAAATCAATTTCTTTTCTGGGGAAGGGACGAGATTTTGGGTTTGAAAAGGCGAAGAAGTTCGCATTATAATATTGGCGGAAGTCTGGAGGAAGACGAGAACAATGCGCTCCACGTAATTCACGGGAGAGAGAGACGGGTACACGTGCCCGTACCGGATGCGGTACGTTAGCGGTAAGAGCTATCGAATTAGCTAGATCCGTTAGGTTTATTCTTAGGATGCCCGGCTTGATGTTATGTGTGCAATTGAGAAAATGTTTTTAATTGATGATATTGTTTAGAGTGGAATATTATCTTTTAAATATTATAATTTGAAATTATATAATTTATGATTTTTTTATTTATCATTAAAAAAAAAAATTTGCTGCATGAGGTGACTTCTTTTATAACTCGTATCTTTCACACATTTGTGCTCTCTGGCTTCTTATGTTACCTGGATTAACTTTAACTAACCTAACCACCATAAGTGACCTTAGGTGACAATAGATAGCCCTAGGTTTTTTGTAGCACCCTAAGCATAGCTTAGGTTATACTACTTTTTTATGTATAATTATGTATAACCCTAGGTGGTTTTCATAACTTTTGATAGATCTTAGTGGTCTTAAGTGAGTTATGTCTAGCTCACTCTTAGGATGTGTGGCTTTGGTCAGCTATGCTTTAGTTAAACCATTGATAATGGATTACATCGATGACTTTAGTCTATTCCATAGTTTGAGCCTAAAGATTCTTAGTGATTGATTAATATTGTTTATTTATCTCCCCTAAGTTTGATCAAGATCCTATTAATTAAACATTGACCTAATTTTTTTTCCTAACAAGACTTACAAGGATTCGTTAGCATACCCTTGCATGAACTTGAAATTCATATGAAAATTGAATTATCTTATTTTATTATATGTTTCAATATATCATTATAATATACTCAAATGTTAAGTAATTAGACTAATTTTTTTACCATACTCTTAGTCATAGGAAACTTTCCTACTTATGAATATTTTTCTAGTTGGGTATTAAATGAGGACTTGGACTAGCTTGCCTATTTTGTTATAGGCATAGTTGTTTAAATATTTGTTGACTATTCATAATGAGTGTTATATGGGCCATTGTAACTTCTTATATGAAGATCATTCTCTTAGGAAATACTAAATCTTTTATTGGAACTAAAGATCATGGACTGACACCGACGAAACAAGAAAGATGTAAGATTAACCCACAAAATCTGGAAAAGAAGATCATCAAATTTAGAATTTTTTCAAATCTTCAAGAAGTATTTACAACCAATAACTATTTTTTTAAGTAAATAAAGAAATAGATATTAAAAGAATATAAGAAATAATAGAAAATAAATAGAAAATACAAAGGATCTATGATGTTGCATACTTGGAATTACCTAGTGAATTATGTTGAATCTTGAATAGGTTGTTAAAACCTAAGCTTGTGTCCCAAGGCTAACTAAAATAGGGGGTGAATTGGTAATTTTAAAAATTCTCTTGGATTTTAAAATTTGAAACAGATTGATTCAAAAAGTAAGTTAATTAAAGTTTTAAAAATAAAACTTTTCAACCACAGAATTAAAAACTTGTAGTAAGCAGCAAAAATTAAAACGACACATAGATTTATAGTGATTCGGTCAAACACAACCTACCTCCACTTCCTAAAGACTCCCTCTTCAAATATTGTACTATTACAAAAGTGACTCTCCTTTTGCCCCACAGCAAGGCATAGAAGTCTTTACAAAACTCTCTTCCACTAAACCCCGGTGCGGCAGAGAACCGTCATCCTTTCACACCCTCCAAGTGTAGGCAGAGAACCTTCATCCATTCACACCCTTTAAGTGTATGCTGAGTACCTTCGGCTATTCACACTTTCAAAGTGTTGGCAGAGAACCATCGTCTGTTCACACCCTCCAAGTGTCGGTAGAGAATCATCGTCCTTTCACACTCTCTAAGTGTAGGCAGAGTACCTTTGACTATTCACACTCTCCAAGTGTCGGTGGAGAACCATCGTCCTTTTACACCCTCTAAGTATCGGCAGAGAACTGTCGGTTGTTCACACTTTTCAAGTTTCGGTAGAGAACCATATATTCTTCAAATATTTTCTCACGAGCAATTTAGAAAGATAAGAGGAAGAGTAAAAAATATAAATCACACAGAGATCCTTACCTTTAAGTAACTTTGTGAATCCTTCACACTTCACTAGCAAAAAATTTCTCTCAAACACTCCCTCACACTCTATCCTTCAATTGCCCTTAAAAAATCATGAAAAAAAAGTTTTTTTACGTCAGTTCTTAATGGACCCTTTATACAAAAGACACGAAAAACCGTCCAAAAAACTAAAATTTTTAATTTTGAGTGTACACGATCGTATAGTATGATCGAGTTTCGTACGTACGAACAATTCAAGTACTATTGTGTACAAACCTGTTGTGAATCGGTACAAAATCATTTCGTACCCATTCATCATCTGGTACGAACTAAGTTTGTCTGGGATGAATAGTTAAAAAATTCAAAAATCATTTGTACGAAACATCGGGACCTCACATTTTCGTACTCTAGAGGGCATGTACGAACTGGGTTTGTACAGTACAATCCATACTTAGAAAAATTATTTTTATGTGACCTGGAACCCGAAAAGGTCATACTCATAAAAGCATGTTCAAATTGGGGTTGTACAGTATGATCCATACTTAAAAATTTTATTTTTACACGACATGGAACCCGAGAAAATCGTACTCATGAAAGTATGTACCAACTGGGTTTGTACAGTACGATCCATATATAGAAAAATTATTTTTATGCGACATGTGTTGGAAACTCGTTCAATATGAATTAGGATGTTAAGCCTAATTAAATGTCCCAAGGCTAACCAAGAGGGGGGTGAATAGGTAATTTAAAAAATTATACTTCTACTCTTGGATTTTTAAAAAACCTTTTTAATTATTAATGCAAGTTAAATTTAAAGTTTAAAAAATAAACTTTTCAACTAGAGTAAACAACTTGCAATGAAATTAAATGCGGAAGAAAAATAAGAAAGAATACACCAGATTTATAGTGGTTCGGTCAAACCTTGACCTACGTCCACTCCCCGGAGGCACCCTCAGAGTATTGCACTAATACCACAAAGTGAATCTCCTTTTGCCCCCACAGCAATGCGGAGAAGCCTGTACAAAATCACTTTAACCTTCCCCGGTGCGGCGGAGTAGCCGAGTTCTTTAACACCAAAGATATCTTCTTCTCACCAAAACTTCCCTCAAGACGACCCTTGAATCCGATGGTACTGAGGTGCAAGTTCGCCGGAGCAACCGTGTGAATATCCCCTTCACA